GTCGTATATTAAATCTTCTGCTTGGGCCAATTTTTCACTGGTTTTATTAATCTCATGTTACTTTATATCCATTGTACTGAGTGACAAAAAAAGTAAACCCTACGTTTGTTTATTAGAATTCAAGAATATTTACATATCGATTTATCTTGCCATGAACAACAAGTTAGTGATAAAATGGTTAGGTTTCTCTGTTAGCTGCGTGTAATATTTTGGTAATAAAGAAGCATTCGGTTTTCGAACATCGACGGCGTCAGTTAAATGTTAAATTTCGTGTAGCTTATTCAGAAGCGTTTTTGTGATTGCTCAAAATGCCTAGGGTGCGTAGATTTCGCCGGGTGTCTCAGCTAAGTAACTTTGAGAGGGTTCGAATTGTCGGGTTGCGTGAAGCCGGTCTATCGATAAGAGAAGTTTCTAGGAGGACCAACAGATCCGTATGCAGTATATTGCAGTGTGAACGAGCGTAGACTCAGGAAGGTCGAGGACAGCGAGCGAGGGGTTCTGGACGTCCCAGAGTGACCACAGAGAGACAAGACCGTCGGTTAAGACTTCTGGCTCTGAGAGATAGATTCAGTAGTACTCGAGCCATCGCTAATCAGTGGTTCGAAGATCATGGAAGGATGGTTGGTATGCGTACGGTATATTACCGAATACGACAGTTTAGCTCCGTTAGCTCTGGTGCAATGGGACCGGGAATGGAATCAGGTGGTCTTTAGTGACGAATCCCGCTTCTGTCTGGGGATGCACGAATGGTGAAGAGTGAGAAGGCGACATGGTGAAAGACGTGACCCACAATTTGACAGAGAGAGTCTCGTTCACCACACCGTGGAACTAATGGTATGGGGGTTCTATTGCTTATGGTAGCAGATCACCACTAGTTTTCATCAGACAAAATATGACAGCCCGACGCTATATTCAGGAAGTAGTAGAGCCTCATCTTATTCCATATCTAAACACCATCCAAAATCCGATTTTTCAGCAAGACAACGCCAGACCGCATGTTGCCAGAGCATCGTTAACATTCATGGATCAACATCGCATCAACCTTTACCACCGCGATCACCTGACCTATCTCCAATGAACATGTCTAGGAAACGATAGGTCACAGGCTCTTGAATTTCCAACACCCTCCACAGGCTTTAGCAGCTCTTACTCACAAAGTTACAGTAGCCTGGAATGAGATAGCCCAACATGATATCGACCACCATATCAGCACGATGCCCAGGCGTGTCAATGGGTGTATAAGAAATCGTGGATCATCAACACATTATTGAACCAGCTTATGCAGTCATTTGACGAATCAAGCTGAAGATTTAACCATTTTACTAGTAAGGGACACTCAACATATATGCAAAAAATTATTAAAATCGGATAAACATACGGAGTTGTTTACCTTTTTCTGTCACTCAGTATATATTCTCGCAAGAAGATGGTCCAATGCTCACCTGTAGAGTAACATTACGAAAACACTATTTTTACTGTTCAATGCCTAATTTATTACCTTTATAATAATTTATAACACTTGCAACTAATTTATAACAAATTTATATCCAAATCGACTGGACTTTGAGATGAATTAGGGTGTCCCAAAAAATTAAAGTTCTTTTTTCAAACGCATATCCTCTAATTTTTCCCAATTGACTCTAACAACTCAAAAAATAAATATCGCGATCGGGAAACGATAACATTTGCCGGCTTTAGGTCAAACTTTCAGTTTGAAAGTTAATACTGAAGCATGTATGGATTTCAGAACCTAATTCATATTCGACAAATAAAATAAAATTTAGTAAATGTTCTTTTGAATGACAAATATCTAAGAAAATATAAGATAGAAATAAAGCAGTGCTTTATTTGTCGAATTAGGTTTTGAAATCCATACATACATACTATCAATTTTCAAATTCAAAGTTTGACCTAAAGTCGGGTTATCGTTCCCCGATCGCAGTAAGATTATTTTTTTTGAGCTGTTAGAGCCAAATGAAAAAAAATTGAAGGATATGCGTATCTCAATTCAAACAAAAACTTGTTTACCCTCATAGGCGGAGACACCCTAATATGTAACTTTACTTTTTGTACCAAGCAGGCTGAGTGATCAGTAAAAAGCGAATCATGTCGATTGGTGCAAAAATGATTTCATGGTTTGAATCAGGTGAATCCACATACTAAATAAGTCACGATATGGAGGTTTCTTTGCTCAATCTATAACAATTATTATAAAGGTATCTAAAAAAGGACCAAATAGAAAACTTTCAAGAAAATTAGTTTAGTTATAATAGTTACTCATATGACTAATTGGAGTATCAAATTGTACATAATAGTTAGCCTAAAGATAAATAGAAAATCGCTATCTATTATATTTTGTTATTATAATTCCTTTAAAGCGTAATATCTACACGTGATACTATGCGAAACTAACGGACAATCGTATCCAAAACTGATATAATATCATCCATATGTTCGTATCCATATCCAGATTCCAAACATATCCATAACGCCTCTAATTTTCTAGAATGCATAACCAGTGCGGCTAAGGTTCCGAAGGTATTGAGGTTAGGAAAAATCAGAATTTCAAACTGTTTGAAGTTGAAATGTTTCCCTACATCAGCTGCTCTCGGAACCATGACATATTTGAAGCACAAAATTGTCTGCAGATGAGATGCAGTGTCTTCATCACTTGTAACACACATCTCCCCTAAATCATATTATTCTTAAAGGAAGCCACGTCGATTACAAAAGCAAAATAAAACATAAATATCAATATCAAGCAGTGCGGAAAGCAGACAGAAAAACCAGCTGATCTGTCGCAGCAAACCCGTGATTTGCAGGCTCCCTTTCATTGGTTAAATCAGGATCAAGTTGAAAGTAGAAGAATTCCTGCAATGTCAAGCACTTGATTCAAGTTCAGAGTTTATAAATCGATCTTAAATGTGACACACCCTATAACTTCTGTTCCGCATTCTTATATTTGTGTATTTCAGGCTGCAGAAATTTCCTAAGAGAAGAGCTGTTCTCTGAGTATCTGGAAGCACTAATTAGATCACCGCTTTGGAAACCTGATGACGACATTCTTTGACAATTACCATCAACCTTGATCACTTAAGATTTCATTGAACAAATAAAGATTTGTTGTTTTGTTAACTGTGACAATGAATTTCACTTGGAGTACCTTTCATACATTACAAAACTGTAGTACTTGTATGATTCAAACTAAGTTGTGTTAGTTACCTACATTTTCAAATGATGAAAACATTCAAACTGTAACCAGCTCACCATATAACACATAAGTAAATAACACAAAAGCTGTTCGCGCTTTATCATTTATCGATTTGTTATCATTCAAGCATAGCTATTCCAAGCAAATGCAAACAAGTACCGCAATGCTGACTTAAAATAAAAATTAATGTAAGTTGTGCATGAGAAGATAATCTATACGAAAACCGTGACAGATCGTTCAAAGGTAAAATTAATGATGAGTTAACTAACAATACCTGTATGAATTCATATACAGGGTGACTTCGAAGTTGAGTCATTTATTTTAACAGTGAGTAGATCTGATCAAAAGAAATGTTTTTTCCTTTGCCATTTTTCTGGTAAAATTAAAGTAACAAAGTTATAGCCCTTTGGAAGTTTGAGTACCGCCCTGTCTCAATAATAATATTATGTGCTCGTGTTTGGCGACAACGGATATAATCCGCCGTATCGGTTCATCGTATCGGAAACAAAAAAGCGAATGAATTTGGAACGATGTTTTTACAATTATTTTATTCATTTGTTTACAGTCAGTGTCAGTGAAGTAGTGTCTGTTGCGTGGCTCAAACGAAATAAAAAATGGCACATGTTTATGCGGATCGGTTTCCCAATCGAGTGCAACCAACCCCTCGTGCCTTTGTTAATGTAGTACAACGGGCTCGTGAATCAGGTGACTTAAGACCACACAGGGGACTGCATGCCGGTGCTCCAAGACCTCACGATCAAATACAGGTTCGCACTGAAATACTTGTCGGGAGGATACTTTATAAAACAAGGTAAAATTTTTTTTTTAATTTTTTTGTATTTTTACACACATATTTTGGTTTATCTTCCTTCTACAATCATTATCTGAAAATTAATGACTCAACTTCAAAGTATAATTTTGACTGAACACCTTATTGTAACCCAATAATAACATACAAAATAATTAATTAATTTTAAGAAATAAATTTCGTTAGTATCTCCCATTTTCGTATCCTTTTCGTAGAAATTCACATGAGCAGAAATATGGAACAATCTTCCTCCGTTCTGAAGACTATGCTCCAAAACCCTGAATATGCGGTTGTTTACAATACAATTATATGCGCATGCGGTCAAGCAAAAAAAGTATCTTATAGATATGCCGTTTTCTTATATATGTTTTCGAAAAAGTCTGAATTCCGGTGAATGCCGAGATGGACCAGTGAATGTCGACATTCACCAAGTTGCTCGCTGTATATCCGAATTATTGGTTAAATATCATTATTCCTGACATATACTGGCAAATGTTGACATCTACCATACGCTTTTGGTTGTTCAGAATACAGGATGTAGAAAATGAGTTAAAAAATGTTTTTGCCGATAATTCAGGCATTTCTCAAAATATTCAAATGAAATTATAATATAAATAAGTATAACATATGTTTCTTTTATTGGAGCACACATTTCGCGACAATTTGGTTGAAAACAATGGAAAATGGCAATATAAAAGTCCTATTATGTGCACCCAAAGGGTATGGCTACTTGCACACACCGATTTTGGACGGCCGGTAAAATATCGGCCGACCACATTTTAATAGTAAACCACTGGAGGGCATTGAAGCTTGCACACTGGCAGACCACCGATCAGCACCGGAAAAAAAGCCGGTTAGCAGCCGGACATTGTTACTGCGATGCGCCGGTACCGGGAATATAGAGGCATACGTGTTTGAATAGGAGCTTGCACACTCAACTATTATTTAATGGCCGTGATTACAACTGTATACACGTTTACAATGGATAAAGAGATGAACATCGATAATGACATACTTATTGCGCTAGTGGAAGCAAGACCAGTTTTATGGGATAAAAGTTTGGCCATATTTAAGATACTAGATACTAGAGAAGCATGGAGCCAAGTTTGCTGCGAACTGAATGAGGATTTTAAAGAAATGGAGTCCAAAGAAAAAATGAATCTAGAACTTTCGCTTAATTCTCCGACGCTTTATTATGCTGGTACAGTAACCACATTGCAACAACTCGTTGGGGTATCATTAAAAATAATATTGTAAATCAGCACCGCACCGGTAAAAAAACCAGCGCGTGTGTAAGCAGAGCCTACCGATAAAAGATCGGTCGATATTTTACCGGCCGTCCAAAATCGGTGAGTGTGCAATTAGTCTATGTGGTTAACGGATTGACCTCATTTTACCGTGTATAAAGTAAAAAATGTTTTAATAAACATAAGAACATTATTATTGTACTTGAAACAAACAGTTCAAATAACAAGGGTAACTAAAATAATATCAAGATTACAGACGTACATAAACAGTTTGAATTTTTTATATAAAATATTAAAAAAAGGAAATGATGTACTTATGATGTAATTTTATTTATTATTTACAGCTACATTTAGCCGTGGAACACTTTCTTTTGCAGTTACAACGTGTATAGCCTTGTTCTCCACTTTTTGAATTAGCACGAGCTGTTTCTCTTCAGTTGTAATCTCATCCATGGAAAGTAATTTTTCTTTACAAATTGCAAACTGATTACGGGTGAAAAGCTGCTTCAAGGTACCACTTTTCTTTGCTAATTTATAAAGGCCTGAATCCTCTATTCCAACATCCACCGCTAACACATTTCGGGGATCTGTGCGACCAGGGTCAACATCAGGTACTTTAATTCTCACGGTATCACCTATTTTGAAGTAAAGAAATTGACTCGTGATGTTCAGCGAGTACTTGGGATGAAGACATACTATGTGGCTGATCGGCTAGTGCTTGAGATGTAGACGTGCTACACTGGGATTCAGACGATGTTTCAGATAAAGGCGTGCTAGGTTGCGGATCTGCTCGAATAGAGTTTTCCCGTTCATCAATATAATATTCTACTCGTATATGGTCACGACCCAAATTTTCTTGAAACGTATGTAACTAGATTTCTAGCTGTTTCTCGGTTTCAATATTCTTAATTTCTCCGCAAAGGAGAGATGACAATGATTTTTTGGTTTAACGCCGAACATGGCATCATATGGACTCTGACGTATTCCTTCGTGATAAGTTGTGTTTTTGGCAAATTGAACAAACGGCAAACCTTCTGACCACCTATTTGAATCACTGTCATTTATCCACGCTGTTAACATATTCAGTATTTATCGATTGGCACTTTCTACTTAGCCTTGAGTTTGTCTATGACGAGGCTTTCCGTGCACTATTTTAGCATCTTTCCACAAAAATGACTCGATTACTGAACTCTCTACCAGTATCCGAGTGCAATATTATGGCATATGGAGCAGCAAATGTTAAAAAAAATTGAAAAAGATATGCTACTTGTTCCTCTCTCTTGGGTTTCAATGGTCGTAACTAGACAAACTTTGTTTAAATGATCTTTGTACACCATTATAAATTTGTAATCGCCATCGCTGTGTGATTGCAAATATATTAAGTCGACTTGACATCTAGAGTTCAAGTCGTTACTGATCTTTGGTTTCACGACAATACCTTTTTTAGGTGCACTGCGGTTCATTTGACACTGCTTACATAAGTTTAAATACAACATTACAACTTCATAAGTAATATTTCTGTATCTTATTTGTAACTCTTTAAGCATACGACTTCAACCCCCATGGCCTGTTTTATGTGAGCTTCGGAAAGTATATCAAATAGTTACATGATCAAACGAACTTACCTGTAAGTGATGTTCGATCTTAATTATGTGAAGTCCTCAACGAAGTAAATATTTAGAATACATATCGTAGTACCCTCGTAATAGTATCCAACCGCCACGATTTCAAAGCACGCACGCAGAGAAGGAAAGCGGCACCGCGCCCCTTCCCCCTACCTTTCTCCCTTCTGGCCGCCTATAAACCTTCATTTACTTCAAAGCCAAGTTGTTGCAACAATTAGGTGATACATAGGGAGCGAGGGAGCTATTTACTTTGACGAGGACGAGGAAGTAAATATTTAGAATACGTACATATCGTAGATGTTCAAAGCTAGTTGCAACAACATACTACTAACGCTCTGCAATAGGTTGTACACCACTACTGAAATTGTACGCAATGTATGTATCAACTAAATGTACATTTCCATTGTAACAATTCAAGTTAAGGCTTTTAGCAACAGGTAATATGACGTACCTGGTTCAAAACTTACCATCCATTTTATGGTAATTAGCAAATAACGTAATAGCATAGTTATGTTTGAGGTGCGGAGACTTGATTCACCTCAGATATTTGGGCGTAAAGTGCGGTAAAACTTAAGTGGTTGCCAAATGAGTGACCCCGAGACTTTCAAAAACTGGGAAATTCCAATTTCAGTATTATTCAACCCAATCCGGATGTTGTCTGTTTCAATTAGCTTGCACACTCTGACCTGAGGTTCTACAGGGCTTACCAGCAACCCCTTTGGTTGGTTGACAGTATCTATATTTCAGTTGAGATGGCCTCAGCCTGTAAATGCCCTTCAAAAACCATCTTATGTCTGCATCGTTAGTAACCTTTTGGGTAAGAGACTGATAGCTCAAACAATTATATCTTGATCTCTTATCACCTGTAAGGTAAGAAATTTCAAGGTAGGAAACCAGACATGTATTTCTTCCCGACAAATGTCTTACCGTAATCTAAGCCCACAACACATGATGGATTATCGATGTTGATTGGAATGACAGCTTTCCAGTGACGATAACCAGGGTAAGCTTCAGAATTAGTGAGAGCGGCGTCCTGGGTCACTCCATCAGATCCTTGCATTACTTCTAGAAGTGTAATTTCAGAAACACCGAATACTTTAACCACAATCAGGACGATGACAGGTGCAGCTCCCACTGTTTTCACGTTCCACTGACGCAAACGCTTATCTGTACCAGTATTACTCCTAGATTTTATATTTGATGCGAGCGCAGTAAGATTTCTCTCTTTACACAATTGCCATAGTTTTCCCGCAACCTGGTCCAGACGTAGAAACCAGAAGCTCTCCATTCTATTGATGTAGGATGCCCATCAATTCGGTAGCAAAGCATTCACCACAGAAGAAAACTACCAGTTGATGATTAGCATGCGGGATCTTCTCGGGTGACCAAAAACTAGAGACTCCTCCCTGGCCAACGAATGTCCAAGTCAGAGAAATTATACAACAAAGAATTGGATAACCCAAAACCTCTGATCGCATCTGCCAGATTCTTTGAGCCAAAGCCGAGGTGGACCTTAAGTTATATTATGTAAGTGGCAAGGTTTAGTAATGTCTGCATCGTTCGCTCAAGTAAAGTTACTTTCTTCCTGTCACAATTTAATACTGAGCTTGAAAGTGCTCGACTTTTTCTTAAGGTATTCCAGAAATGGTTTTATTAACTTTGTGAACACATAATTTACCCTAAACGGTACAGCATTGTATTGGAAGAGCTGTCCCTTGAATATGAATCTGAAATATATTCTATTACTCTCCATGACGGGTACCAAATTCCCTGCATATTCCAAATCCAGATTCGTTAAAAAAAATCTCTACGGAGAAGTCTGATCCCAGTTCAACAGCCTAGACTTAGGTGTTATATCCCTATAAACAAACAGTCTTGAGGTAAGGAGTCAAACCTGTTGATCCATCAGACTTGGGGGCAAGAAAAAGTTGGATAGGAGCTGGTTTTTAGTTAGCTCAACTATTTTACTGAAAGCACCGCAGCTAAGCAACTCATAGATGGACTGATGAGATTCAGCTATGGCAAAGTGCTAAAACAGCCGCCATCTGAATGGCAAGTGGCATGCTGATCTACACACCTCATCTGCAATAGTGGGTTGATGTTGTCAGTACGTTGTCTGGCCTTTTGGCCTTCAGATGCTGCTCTGTTTATCTGATTTCTATTTAGAATTGTTTTACTTGGCCAGATATCACTGGAAGCCTCTGTCAAAGTACTCCTGAGTCTTTTGCTTTAATGTGAATATCTGCCAGCACGCACTCTTCTCCCTTCTTTGAACCTAGATGATAGAGTATTGCCACTTGCAGTTAATGAACAGCTCACATGTTGCAGTTCAAGCACGCATCCCTGCGTGCGACAATTTCTATTATGGCTTCCGTTACCTCAGGGTAATTTATTCATCTATCAACAAGATCTTCCCTTGAACTGACAGCCTTGGAACAACGCGAGAACATTAATTATACTAAGGTCGCCGCATCATCGTGGTGATGCGTCATCTAATGTATTGAAACAGACTACATGGCTTTTAAGAGAACACAATGCAGAGCGCCCTGCTGTTCGAGTGCCACCTATGTAAAATGTAACGTTACTCGGGCATAATGATATTTAACCTTCGTTATTACTGAACATTAGGACTTTGGTGGTTTCCTAACCGGATATGTTCATACGTACAGTCCTGTTCCATAGTTATCACCAGCCATGTGGAATTTGCTATCACAAGCAAAATGTAACGCTAGTCTGCCATAGATATACCTAATTTCTATATGTTGTTAATGGAAAATAGTACTTCAGCTGTTTCGTAACCTGTCATGTGCATATTATTGACCTGTTCGATGGCTATTCCAAACCATATGAATTGGCTATAACAATCAAAATGTAACGCTTGTCTCGCATAGATAAAACATAATCTCTATCTGTTATTAACGAAAAATGATACTTTAGTGGTTTCCTAAACTGTCATGTGCATTCTGATAAAGATATTCCAAGGTTATCGCAAACCAAATGAAATTTGCTATCACAGGCAAAATGTAACGCTAACTTCGCATAAGGTGCCTATTATTTATCTGGTGATAAGAAAAAGATATACATTGGCGGTTTTCTAACCTGACATTTTCATAATTACACATCTGTTCCACGGTTATCACAAACCACGTGGAATTTGCTATAACAAGCAAAATGTAACGCTAGTCTCGCATAGATGTAGCTAATTTCTGTTGTTCTTTAATGAAAAATGGTACTTCGGCTTCTTCCTAACTTCTCATGTACATCCTTACAATATTGTTTCATAGTTATCACAAACCATATGGAATTTGCTATCCCAAGCAAAATGTACCGCTAGTGTCGCATAGATGTACCCAATTTTTATCTGTTATAAATGAAAAATGTTATATTGCTACATTGCTACATTGCTAATACAAACTAAATGGGATTTGCTATCTCAAACAAAATGTAACGCTAGTCTCGCATATATGAATCTAATCACTATTTGTTATTAATGAAAAATGGTATTTCGGCAGTTGCCTAAACTGTTTTGTGCATTCTTATTATGCTGTTCCAGGGTTATCACAAACCAGATGGAATTTGCCATCATAGGCAAAATGTAACGCTAACCTCGCATAACATTCCTAATCTCTATCTGGTAATAAGGAAAAAATATATCTTAGCAACTTCCTAGCCTGCCATGTTCAAACTTACGGTCCTGTTCCATGGTTAGCACAAACCAGATGAAATATGCTGTCACAAGCAAATGAGAAAAGATTATTGACCATACCTTGTTGCTACGTTGTCCCAAACGCTTTCAGTGTTGTTATTTGTGCAACGAAGTTCAGTATTGAGTCATTTTTCCAAACATCTTCATTTGTCCTTGGTTTGGACTATCACAAGCTAGGTCCATGTTGCTATCCCAAGCAACCGAGTCCAATGTTACAACGTTATCCCAAACGTCTTCGTTCGTCCTTGGTATGAAGTTGGCTATCACAAGCTAGGTCCACGTTGCTATCCCTAGCAACAGTGTCAGAACGTTATACCGATCGGTTAGTTGACAGGGATCTGATAGTGACTCCCCTTCAGACAAAGGCGCCTGCATGCCATTTTCTAATTTTGGTCGGCGACGAGAGCAACCTTCAGGCGACCGTCGGTCGGTATCTCGTTCGATAATGCACATCTACCTTCTGTCCTGTTTGCTAATTCTAAATGTTCAGCGGATCCTCGACACTGCACTGCCGTAGCACGTAAACGAGGCGCGCCGATTAACGTCTTGACGGTTGGGCACGAGAACAAGGAATGAAGGTTTATAGGCGGTAGGGATGTTCGATACGATCCGATATTTAGAAGTATCGATACTTTTGCTTCCTATACACGATATTTTGGATCGATATTTTTATATACGCTACTTGGGTCTATCGATACATTTCACGGGTAACTATCGTTATCTTTCGATGCGGACTGTGTCAGAAATAGTGACTAACTTCAGATTACTTTTCTTCTTTGTTTCCTATCGCTGATGCTACTCAACTTCACGACCTCACATAATTTATTTTTATTTCAGGGTTGCCATATTAGGGGGTTTTTCCCAAAAATCAGGGGAATTATTATTTGAATGGGGAAGATTTTGGGGATATTTTTTTACTGGAGAGATATTATGTAAAATTTTTTTTTATTATAAAATTGCCTGTTAAAAAAATTGAAATTGACCTTTCGAGGAGCTTTCAAAACGTTTTGAAAGCATAAAACAGATTAAACCTTTAGCTGTCCCAAATATCCTGGAGCTTGTTTTAAAGGATTGCACTTTAAAAGTCCAATTTCGTGTGCAAATATGCAGTCACTTTAATAAATCAGTCATTTCAGTTGCGCAGAAGGGAATCAATACTGAAAAAGCAGTGCAAAATCAAATTATATTGTTGAAAAATCTGAGAGTGTTTGGGCCTACCATGAAAACTGGCGCAAAATCACGCACATAAATATGGTAATACTAAATTAGATATTGATCTTGAGCTACAACTGTATTCAAATAGTCATACCATACCAGTAAACTCGAATCCCTTT